AAACTTCCTTAAACAGGGTTGCCTTCAGATATCTTCTAAAAGTCAGATAGTGGTTTATTTCCTTGACATCTGGTGGGAGGGCATTCCACAGGGCAGGCGCCACTACCGAGAAGGCCCTGTGCCTGGTTCCCTGTAACCTCACTTCCTGCAGGGAGGGAACCGCCAGAAGGCCCTCGGAGCTGGACCTCAGTGTCCGGGCTGAGCAATGTCGGGAGGGGGGGAGACGCTCCTTCAGGTATACTGGGCCGGTTCCAGCAAGAGCTCACAGAGCTCACAAGATCTTGCTAGAAGCCACTGCTGCTTTTCTGGTCACCCACGTGGCACCGTCTCTTGGGGTTCTAACACCAGAGGCAGTTGCCTCAGCCTGCCTCATGGGTGGGCTGGCCCTGACCATCCTGGGTGTGGTTTTGAAGGCTGAGCCAGGGCTGCATGGAATCAAGGCTGAACATAGGAAGCTTCCATATATTATTGGTCCAATACCGTCTACACTTGACTGGCAGCAGATCTCCAGGTTTTCAGACAGCACTTGTTCCCCATCTCCACCCTGGAGATGCCTGGGGTAGTCACTGTATTACTTCACTAGAGCTCAATAGTAGAGCATCTGCCTTGCAGATGCAGAAAGTTTCATGTTCAATCCCCGATCTCCAGGTAGGACTGTGAGAGACTCCGTTCCTGAAACACCAAAGAATGGCTGCTAGTTGGTGTAAACAATGCTGGGATTGACCAGCTATCTGGATAGCTCATTTGGTCAGGTGCTGATAACACCAAGGTTGCAGGTTCAATCCCCATATGGGACAGCTGCATATTCCTGCATTGCAGGGGGTTGGACTAGATGATCCTCAGGGTCCCTTCCAATTCTATGATTCTATGACTTGGTATAAGGCAGCTTTCTATGTCCTTATCCATGATCATTGGCTAAACTGGCTGATGGGAGTTGTAACCCAACAACAGCTGGGATTCCAAGGTTGAAGAACACCAATCTACCCTGACTGGAAGCAGCTTCCCAGGGATTATGGCCATATTATTTCCCTGACCTATCTGAGATGCCACTGAGAATTGAACCTGGGACTATCTGCACACAAAGCAGGTGCTCTACCTCTGAGCTACAGCACTTCCCTCAAGAAATCATCAGTCAAGGTGGTTGCCTGGAGGGAGTGGAGAGGACCGAAGGAATGGCTCACAGATCCCGGGCATGTCTTGGTTTGATTGTTTTCTCCCATCCCCTCAGGTAGCAAGAATGAGACCTTTGTCAGACGAGGCTGCGGGACACAACATATCTGCACTGATAAGCTGGGCATTTCTGGAATACCGGGGTTGTTCCTTGAAACGCTGACGAAGGCAGATTGCAACCAGGCTAATGAAATTGACGACTCGGACTTCACAGAGCTTTCACGGAACTGAAACACACACACATAAGCCTTCCTTTTGGCTCCTTAGCCAGACTAAATTATTACATCGAATGAGTCATAGCCAGGCAATGTGTGGGGCAGGAAGCTTCTTTCAATGCAGATGGAGCGATGCAGAATATTCTGGATTTTCCACCAATACAGTGGTACCTCAGGTTAAGTACTTAACTCGTTCCGGAGGTCCATTCTTAACCTGAAACTGTTCTTAACCTGAAGCACCACTTTAGCTAATGGGGCCTCCTGCTGCTGCCATGCCGCTGGAGCACGATTTCTGTTCTCATCCTGAAACAAAGTTCTTAACCCAAGGTACTATTTCTGGGATGGCAGAGTCTGTAACCTGAAGCGTATGTAACCTGAAGCGTATGTAACCCAAGGTACCACTGTAAAAAATAAAAATAAAGTTGCTGAATGGTTTCTTGTACCTTTTTCTGAACTGAGCAGTCCTCAGCTAGATTAGTCAGACATCCATTATACAAAGGGTAGGGAACTTCAGGCATGGATACTGAATGTGGCCCTCCAGATCTCTGTATCTGTCCATTGAAACTCTTTCCATGCCACACCCCATTTCCCCAGGCTCCACCTCCCACTTGGGATCTCTGGAACACTCTCCGGGCCACAACCACTCTTCTCTCTTTTCCTCCCAGAGACTAAGAGCAGCCACGTAGTCACGTAGCATGGTTTGCTGGGGCCTGGGGCAGATATGCTTGGGCCAGTGGAAGGTGGGCGTGGAGGGTGAATTGAGCTGTCTTTAAAGGTAACCTCCAAACTCTATGATTCTGTGAACCTGTTTTTGAATCTGAATGACTCTGCTCTTCTGTACAACAGGGTCAAGTGAGCAGCTTTTTTGTAATAAATGGACATCGAGGTGAAATCGCTAAAGTACCAGGAAAGAACTATGGAAAAAAACAACACTTGCTCCCATGGGCTCCTCTGTTTGCCTAGTTCTTGCTTTTTTGCCTTGCATGTGGTAATAAAGGTCCATAACAACATTATTATACTGTTTCTGCTCTCACAGCATCACCCTGGCATCCAGGGAACCTGCATGATTCATTGTTTGCACTTCATTTTATGGCTGGCTCTGGCTAGGACCAGAGATGGCCAGGGAGGATCACCTTAAGCTATACACACGGTCCCATCTGAAATGTAATCTGCACCCTACCCATAAATTGTCACTGTGGGGAACTTGTTCTTTTCTGCTGAATGTAGCTCTCAGTCCCAGCCTGAGCACGGATGAGCACCATGCACACCTGCTTTGCCTTTTCCATCTTCTCTGCTCTGGTGACAGCAGGTAAACGCTATGCAAAATCTGTTCTGCAGCTGAGAAAGATTTGAAACAGAAGCAGATTTGGGAGGTGGCGTGGGAAGATAAGAGCTTTGGAAGTGAGGTGGGGGAGGTAGCGAGAGGAGCGAGAAAGTGTTTCTGTACAGGGGGGCCAACTTGAATAAAATATTGGGAGAGGCCTGGATAATCCCTGTCCCGCATCACAAAATACGGCATGCACCCACCATTTTAATGGCAATGCCCATCAACTTTTTTGGAGTGTGTGTGTGTGGACCCCTCAGATATTTTATTGGAGAAAGCTGGTTTGTAGCAATTCAGACCTTTGGTTTATCTGCGTCACAAAATTTTGAGACATGCAACCTTGAGAGTGGTAGGTTTTGCTTTGTGCATCCGTCTGGGAAGAGCAAATGAGGTAGGTCAAATATACAAACCCAAACAAATCTCGCACACATCCCCAGCCCAGACATTGTGACCGCCTTAGTGAAAACCAGGCCTCAGATATAGGGGAAGGGGTGGAAGGCTATGGTGCTTTTAACAATGGCAGAGAAAGAGGGGAATTTGGCAGTTTTCATGCCTGCAGCTTGAATGATGCCCTTCTCAAAATTTTCACCTGCTCTGCTACCAAAGGCCCAGGTGGCATTCCTTGCAATTGTCCTGGAAAAAACCAAGGCATCCCATTTCTCCCTGTAAGAGCACTGCAGCCATTTTGGGCACAATTTTGGGTTGAAGGAGCTTTGGGTATTGTCCATTTGTCACCAGTTTTTAAAAAGGCCCTGCTCCTTTGACTTGAGGATAGGGATGGGCGGACCTGTCAAGTTCAGCTTCTCATTTTTCCTGTTTTAAGCTCGGTTCTCCACATTCCTACAACGGTTTGCAAATTCTTTTCCTGAATCCCCACGGAAATTTGCCGGCATTTTGCTGAGAACCCCTCCCATTGTATGTACCGGTATGTTTATATGCACTTTCCCCTAACAGACACATTTTTGCAAAGTCATTTCCCCCCTTTACGAAGCGTTTTTGTATATTTTTTTCCACTGTTGTGTGTGTTCTTATGTGCACTTTATCCCAGTATATGCATTTCTGTACACATCATGTGTCTAGAAATCTGTGCAGCAGTGCAAATTTCAAAGGATGGCTTCGGTTCCCAAATTGCTTTGGAAAATGTGGGGTCTACGTCTCTACTTCAGTAGCCACCTCTGAAGCTTTCCTCAGGGATTTTGTCTCCCTGTCAGGAAAAGGAAAAGGCTTTAATTTCCTCTTTAAAATCAGGTGCTTATTCTCATTCTAACAGGTGTACAGCATCTAGAAGAAACAAGGACACATAAAGGAGATAGCGAACGGCACAGACATCACAGTAAGTACACAAAGAGGATATGAATAATTACAAGCTTCTGAAAGGCAGGCAAAGGCAAGGATCTTGGACATGGCAAGAGCAATGAGTAAACAATAACGTATGTTGAGATAAGAAAAGGGGGAAGCGCAGGAAGCACCTAATAAAATGGGCAACCAAGAGAGAATAAGGATCAGAGGTGAAAGAATCCAGATGAAACCATACTTTGCAGTTAAATGCTTAAGTCTTAAGACATCAGGGCCAGATTAAGACCTTGAGAGGCCCTAAAAGATTTTGGTGCCCCCAAGTATATCTAATTCAAAATATAATCAATAATAAGCAAAAAAAAAAATATTTGAAATGAAACGAAACCTTCAGTAAGGTGGAAAATAATGTTTATTTTTGTATACTTCCATTTTATTTATATTTGGAAAAAATATTCTCCTGCTTTTTCTAATTGCAAAGCCTTTGACCAGATCCTCAAAACTAATCTTAGGTTGACACGTCCGCTTCTGTACTTAGTAGAGAAAAGGCATCCAGCCTGCCTTGTTGCATAGTTGTTCTGTTGGGATTTTTAATATAATTCAACTGAGAAAATGAACTTTTAGCTGAGAAATTTGTGACCGTTAATGCTAAAAATCCGGCATTGCAGCAGTGCAAATTTCAAAGGATGGCTTCGGTTCCCAAATTGCTTTGGAAAATGTGGGTCCATGTCTCTACTTCAGTAGCCACCTCTGAAGCTTTCCTCAGGGATTTTCTGTGGTGCCCCCTTCCCTTGATGCCCAAAGCACGTGCTTATTTTACTTAATGGTTCGTCAAAGCCCTGTGAGACATCAAGGCTCCCATAAGAGAAAGAGGCTTCCTCTCAGATAAGGTAGCAACTTGAGGCGCTACCGTAGGACGGCAGGGAGTGTTCAGCAGTTGAAAAGCAATATGTGACTGTGAATGTGGTTCTGTGATGTTAGCTCCAATTGCTTTTGCTGCTTATTTATATCTCCAACAGGTCTGATGTCTTGCGAAGTCTGCATTGCAGGAGGGGAGATGTGCTGTGGGAAGATGCAACCTTGCTTCCTGGGGGAAGACACTTGCGCAAGCATTTTAGGGGAGACCACCCTGGGTAGGCAAAGGAGACACACTTGTTGATCGATTTCTCTTATATAACCTATCTGTTTTTATTGTTAGTCAATAAACAGTATGTCAAACTGCATATATTTTTTTAAATAAATATTTATTAAAGTTTAAACATTACAAAAAAAAGAAAAGAAAAAGACAAGAGAAATATACAAGACATCAACAATATCTAAAAAAAGAAGAAAAAAGAAAAAAGAAAACAAAAACATTTTAAAAAGACGCAAAAAAGAACAGACATACCTACAAAAGAGCCCCATATTTTCATATCCTTATCTTTCATTAGCTTATTTCCTCGACTTCCTCACACCTCCTTTTTTGTATTCTAATTCAATTAAATGTTCTAGCAAGTCCTTTCCCTCTTTCACAAATTTAGTTCCATAATTTAATTTAACAAAATTTTAAACTTAAATTTACATCTTTACCCAATGTCAGCTATTCATACTTAATTCTTTATAATATTTCTACTAAAGTCATAAAACTTCTTTCCAGCATCTTTCTAGCATTCATTAATTTTAGAATATTTCTGTAAATAAGCTTTAAATTTCTTCCAATCTTCTTCCACCGACTCTTCTCCCTGGTCTCGGATTCTGCCAGTCATTTCTGCCAATTCCATGTAGTCGTCAAACTGCATATAAACGGTTATTTGAAAGAAAGAAAGAAAGAAAGAAAGAAAGAAAGAAAGAAAGAAAGATGTCTTTCAAGACTTACCTTTCCATAATTTTCATTCCAGCAATTGATGAAGCAAGCCTATCTTTCTATCAACTCACTGAGCTGGAAAGTTGTCTTTCTCCTATCAGCTAAATCAGCTGGTGTGCCATTTCTAAATATTTCTGCAATATAGGTGGGGCTTATGGATCCCCCTCCCCCCCAGTTTTTCACACTACTGTTTTTGCAGCAGTCGTCATCATATTTATGATTAAAGATTTCAGATAGATAGGGATGCTTTCTTCAATTGTATGAACAAAAGACCAGCACTGGGGGTTTAGTATCAATGCATAACTGGTTGTTTATGTTACTGTTCTGACTGGCTCCAAAACTCATAACCCTGTGCTCCAAACTAGTAGGGTTGGTGAGAGTGGATAGGAGATATATTTATTATAGCCCTGTCCTCCTGGCCTGGACACTCTCTGACCCATTCCTAATTTTGGTCTTTAGGAGGAGAGGACAGGGAGGGGTTGCTCTCCAAGACAGTCCAAAACTGTGTAAGCTGTCAGGCATAAGGTGGGAGAGTCTCTTCTTTTGCTTTAAGGGTGGAAGATCTTCATAGGAAAGCCCACCTGTCCTCAGATTTTAAACAGCATTATTAGAACAGGTTTGTAAGCCACTTTGGCCATGTGAACTTTCTGTTGCTGAAAAGCAGCGTAGAAATTTGCTAAATAAATTAACATAAGGTAAAGGGACCCCTGACCGTTAAGTCCAGTCGCGAACGACTCTGGGGTTGCGGCGCTCATCTCGCTTTATTGGCCGAGGGAGCCTGCGTACAGCTTCCGGGTCATGTGGCCAGCATGACTAAGCCGCTTCTGGCGAACCAGAGCAGCGCACGGAAACGCCGTTGACCTTCCCGCCGGAGCAGTACCTATTTATCTACTTGCACTTTGATGTGCTTTCGAACTGCTAGGTTGGCAGGAGCAGGGACCGAGCAACGGGAGCTCACCCCGTCGTGGGGATTCGAACCGCGACCTTCTGATTGGCTGTGGTTTAACCCACAGCGCCACCCGCGTCCACTAAATAAATTAACATACCTCAACATAAATTAACATACATTCACTCCTTAATTTACATTCAGTCTTTGGAGCCTAAAACAAGTAATCCTGAATTAATTAACCTCAGCTCATACTGCCCAAAAGACTCTAGACTGTTACTGCTCTCAACCATACAAATCTATCTTCTGATATTTGTCCAGCAGGTGTCACTGCTTCTTAGCATTACAGAGGTACCTCTGGTTGCGAATGGGATCCATTCTGGAGGCCTGTTCGCAATGTGAAAAGCCCACAACCTGAAGCGCCGTATCTGCACAGGTGCACGGCGTGATTTGGTGCTTGTGCACATGCATGAAGTGTGATTTAGCGCTACTGTGCATGCGTGAGTGGCGAAACCCAGAAGTAACCCTTTCCGGTACTTCGGGGTTGCTGTGGGGCGCAACCTGAAAAAGTGTAACATGAAGCAAACGTAACATGAGGTATGACTGTAATACCGTCTGATTTTTATTTTGATAGTAAAACCATTAGGATTCAACAGATTTCTAGGCATATATGGAAATAATGTTTCTAATGCAATTTGCCCCCTCTTTTCCCCATCAGATGTCAAGGAAATAAACAACTACCTGACTTTTAGAAAACATCTGAAGGCAGCCCTGTTTAGGGAAGTTTTTAATGTTTGATGTTTTATCATGTTTTTAATATTATGTTGGGAGCCACCCAGACAGATGGGCGGGGGTATAAGCAATTAATAATAATAATAATAATAATAATAATAATAATAATAATAATACTCCGCCCATCTAGCTACCCTGGGCAGCTTCCAGCACATATAAAAACTTAATAAAATGTCAAACATTAAAAATCAACACGTACACTTATGCATGCGCAGAGATAGTTTGGTGTAATGTGTGAACGGACCTCTGGAGACCTCATAGTTAATACTGATTCACCTTCTGCCCAGCCCTGCACTGATCTATCAGCGTTTCCTTCCCTTTTCAAACTCTTTCTTTCTTCGCCTAGGCGTAGTGGCATTTGCAGGTGCCTTGAAGTCCTGCACTGGGCACAGAGCTTGCAAAGCTGGCATCCGGACCATGACCCTTGGGCCTGGGATCATGCTGCGAAGAAGCGCCATGTGCTGTAAGAGAGAGAGCTGCCAGAAGCAACTGGCTAAATGTACGTATCTCCTGTACTTGCCTGACTTTGAAGTTGCGCCTCCAGGCCTGAAGGGGGTGCTGTAATAAATGACAAGGACTCCATAGAGCTCTTTTGCTTATTTTAAAGCAGGGGGCTGGCAACCTTTTCGAAGCCCCCAGGCAAAATGGATAAATGACTGTGGGTACCATAGTCATGCTGCAACTCTTCCCTCCCCATCATCATCACCACCATCATATTATTATTATTTATTAAATTTGTATACAGTCATACCTTGGATGTCAAACGCCTTGGCTCCTGAACAAATTGGCTCCCGAACGATCAAAACCTGGAAGTGCGGAAGTGAGCATTCTGGTTTTTGAACGATTTTTGGAAGCCAAACGTTCGATGGGCTTCCACAGTTTCCAATTGGCTGCAGGAGCTTCCTGCAGCCAATCAGAAGCTGCGGTTTGGTTTCCGAACGTTTTGGAAGTCGAACGGACCTCCAGAATGGATTCTGTTTGACTTCCAAGGTATAACTGTACTGCCCTTCGATTGAAGACCCCAGGGTGGTTCACAACAGAAAACTAGAAACTAAGAATACAAAATAAAACAAAAACAGACCAAATTCCCCCTCCTGCAGAGGACTAATTGTACATCGAAGAAGTGGATGTTAAACAGGTCCAGTATAAATTAAGCCAGCAGAAAGCACACAAAATACAAATTTGATTCAGGTGCTACGGTTGTCTGAGATGACCTAAGCCTGGCAGTGGGGAAAACAAGCCTGTAAAATAGGGTTTGAGTTACTGCACCCTTTTTTTCTGCATAATTTATGCCATGTTGCCAGGTCACGTGACCAAGCTGATTGGGCTTAGGATCCAGCCTAACTCTCCCCTCTTTGGTCCAGCCTTCAGCCAGCTCAGCTCACCCAACTGGCGCCTGGCTGAGCCAGGATGGGAGAGAAATGCTGACATATCTCTGGCTGAGGAGCTTGAGGAGATTTCACCCCTCCCATACCCAAGAATCTCCTGACCATCTCCTGATGATCTCTGCTGACTCTCCACAGAGAAGAGGAGGCGTGTCCTGCCTATTAACTTATTCTGCCCAGCAACATATCTGTGAGTGTGAGAGAGAGTCAGTCAGTCAGTATATCGGAGAGAGTGAGAGTGTTAGAGATCCTAGAGATTAGATTGCTGCTAAGAGCAGCTGCAGACTCTCAGTATAGCATTGCTTTATGCTCAGTATACTTAGCTCTGTATATAGTTTTGTACCATAGTTGTAGTTATAGAATAAAAGGAAGATATTTTACAGAGCTGCTCTCCGGGTGGTTTATACTCTGCAAGACTCTGCAAAACGCTGCTGCGCAACGACTGCATTATTGAGACAGTGAATCCGGTGCTCTCAGCTCCAAGCTGTGAGTCCACAGCACTGTGACCAGTTCCTGTGAGAAACGGAGGTCTCTGGCAGTGCTACCCAGCTCGCCCAGCCCAGTCGGGGCTGTAGTGCATGAGTCCAGTTGGTACACTGGCTCAAGGGCGATGCTGACATCGGTTATGGGCCCAGTCGTTGTTCCAGTCATCCCAGTCGTCCCAGTCGTCCCAGTCGCCAGAGGTTTCTGTTGCTGATTGCCGGACGGTGGAACGGACGCTGCATGCTGGACTGATTTGTGGTGCCTAGAAGCAGAGCTGTGTTGGAGCAGAGTGTTCAAGCTGCCGCTGTTGCTGTTGCTGCTGCTTGATTTATGGAGGTATGTTGCTGACTGCCAAAGAAAGAAGATAGCATCCCTGTTTGCCTGTTAATTGCGCTCTGAGTGGGGGAGAGAGTGGCTGAAGAAGTCCAAGGCTTTATCAGTGTTGCACGAGGGAAGTGTCTTGCTCTAAGTAATAGCAGACATGGCCTGTGCACATTCTGGCCAGATGGCTCTGTCCTTTCCCCTCCTCACGCCTGAAAACTATGGAGTTTGGCAAGTAAAGATGAAAGCGCTTTTACAGAGGGAAAAGCTATTTCACACCATAGAAGATGACCCTCCAGATGAGGATGAGGATGATTGGGCTGAGTGGCATGCTGCAGATATGAGAGCCCGAGGGACAATTGTTTTGAGTGTTTCAGACCACTTGCTGGTAAACTTAGAGGGTCAAGAGACTGCACAAGCTGTTTGGCATAAGTTGAGAGATATGCATCTGAGACAAAATGCTGGTTCCAGTGTGATTTTCTTTAAGAAGCTGTGCGGGCTGCAGTTGCAGAAAGGTGGTGATTTGCCTAGCCATCTATCTCAATTAAAGCGTCTCAGACAAGACCTTGTTCAGCGAGACCTGAATATTTCAGAGGCTGTGTTTGCAATGCTGATGATAAATAGCCTAGATGTTTCTTATGATGGAGTAGCTGCCCAGATTTCTACAATGCCTTCAGACCGGCTAACAGAAGATTATGTGTCTAGCGTGCTCTTGAATGAGTGGGATCGCAGACAGGCTGTTAGAGAAAGCCGGGACAATGGTGCTGTTAAAAATGTGCTTGAAAATGTGCCTGAGTCTTCAGCAGGGGAAAGTGAAAGTGAAACTGCTGCTGTTAAAGCACTAAAGTTGAAGCGGTGCTTTTCATGTGGAGCACAAGGCCATTTGAGTTTCCAGTGCAAGAAGTCTTCAAAGAAGAAGGGAAACTTCAGAAGCAGAGGGGGAGGAGGAAGAAATCCCCAGGCACCTGCTACTTCAAAGGTTTTGCTCTCTCGCTGCTGCAATCAACGTGGGCGGAGTTTCTTCGTGATCGACTCTGGCTGTACTAACCACGTGGCCAAAGATAAGAATCTCTTTGTTCAGCTTGAGAAGCAAGAGAAAGCAATTCATCAAGCAGATGGGACAGTTCTCACAAGTGTGGCTAAGGGAACTGTGTTCTTAAAGAGCCTGAATGCAACTATTAAGAATGTCCTGTATGCACCTGATATTCAGGACAATTTGTTGAGTGTTTCCCAGCTTGATCGTCAAGGGTTTAAGGTGGTGTTTGCTAAATCTCGCTGTGAAATTCTTAGAGATGGCAAGCTCATTCTGTATGCAAAATGTGTAAATGGATTGTACCAATTGCCTTTTGTTTCAGGTACAGGCACTGCAGAAGCAACTGAAAAAGAGTGTTGCAATTTGTCTGTGAATAAGAATGAGAAGTTGCATGACCAATGTATTCATTATTATCACCGCATTTATGGTCATTTGGGTTTCCAGGCTGTGGCAAAAATGCCTGCTATGGTTCAGGGTATGGAGCTGAAAGAATGTCCCTACCACATGAAATGTGTTTCTTGTGCTGAAAGTAAGGCAAGGCAAGCTCCCAAAGGTACAGAGTCTGGGAGAGAGGCCAAGAAACCATACGAAGTCATTCATGCAGACTTAGTGGGGCCTCTAGCGCTCTCTAGAGGCAATTCAAGGTTTTTTATGGTTCTGATAGACTCCTATTCGAAATATGTTTGGGTCTATGTGCTGCAGAAAAAGTCTGAAGCCTTTACCAAGTTTCGTCAGTTTTGTAAATGGCTCAGAAATGTACATAATGAGAATGTACATTGTCTTTTCACAGACAGGGGTGGAGAGTTTTGTTCAGAAGAGTTTGAGAGTTTTCTTTCTGAACAGGGCATTGAGCATAGGACCGCCACGCCCAGATCACCCTGGCAGAATGGTTTATGTGAGAGAGTAAACCAAACCCTGCAGCAAGGAATCAGAACACTGTTACATGATTCGGGCTGCCCAATCCCTTTTGGGCCGAAGCTCTTTCGTTTTTCTGTCACGTGTATAACAGGAGGTATCAGTCTAGTGTAAATTGCACCCCATATGAGATGCTTCACGGAAGAAAGCCATGTGTAAAGCATTTTAAAATTTTTGGTTCGGAAGTTTGGGTGCACACCTCGCAGGGTGACAAACTGAGTAGGCGTGGAGAACATGGTATTTTCCTGGGGTATGAGAAAGGGTCTTATCGTGTTCTGATCACAGACACGAAAACAATAAGGCTGACCAGGAGTATTGAAGACAATCCACAATGGGACAAAGTTGGCGTTTTTCAGTATCATCCCATTTGTGATGATGGTGCAAAAGGGGCAAAGAAAGTTAAGAGGAAGGCAAGTGTTGTTGGTGATAATTCTGATGCCAATGTAGTTTCAGATGATGGCACAGATTATCAGAGCCCAAAAGCCTCAGGTGAGTCTGACGCTGACTCAGACTTAGCAGCTTCATATACTTTAGCTCCCCATTCTCCCAAAGAGGAGGAAGCACCAGAACAAGAGGATCAGAGAGTTTTGCGCAGATCCGAGAGAACAACCAAGGGTGTACCACCGAAAAGGTTTTCTGAAGAGTTTGCAAAGGCTGCGGTCACATGCAACTCTGGTGGAGTTTTCAAACCTAGCATGAAGTGTGCTGAGAGTAGTAGCACAAAACGCTTTATTTATTTCCTTACCTGATATTTGAAGGAAAGCGTGTATTTGAGTTCTAAAAAATGGTTTGTTCAAATCTGCCTAATTAGAAATGTCAATTTGCATATTTGAGAGGAAGAAATGTGTATGAAGATTTTTCCAGAAGCTGCTTATTCATTTGTGTATTCACAATGTGTATTTTGTGTAAACTGCAGATTGAGATTTATGTTTTAACTCTTTCCTAATGGACACAGAGTGGTTACTGTGATTGTTTAATGGTATTGTTAATGTGTCTTAGAGAAGGGGGAGAGAGATACCTGCAAATATGTTACCAAGGTTGTAAGCAGAGAACAACTTTTGGAGTGTGTGTGTAAATTGCAGTTATGTTAAAGATTCTTGAAATGGTCGGATGAAATGGGGGAGGATGAGGAGATTTCACCCCTCCCATACCCAAGAATCTCCTGACCATCTCCTGATGATCTCTGCTGATTCTCCACAGAGAAGAGGAGGCGTGTCCTGCCTATTAACTTATTCTGCCCAGCAACATATCTGTGAGTGTGAGAGAGAGTCAGTCAGTCAGTATATCGGAGAGAGTGAGAGTGTTAGAGATCCTAGAGATTAGATTGCTGCTAAGAGCAGCTGCAGACTCTCAGTATAGCATTGCTTTATGCTCAGTATACTTAGCTCTGTATATAGTTTTGTACCATAGTTGTAGTTATAGAATAAAAGGAAGATATTTTACAGAGCTGCTCTCCGGGTGGTTTATACTCTGCAAGACTCTGCAAAACGCTGCTGCGCAACGACTGCATTATTGAGACAGTGAATCCGGTGCTCTCAGCTCCAAGCTGTGAGTCCACAGCACTGTGACCAGTTCCTGTGAGAAACGGAGGTCTCTGGCAGTGCTACCCAGCTCGCCCAGCCCAGTCGGGGCTGTAGTGCATGAGTCCAGTTGGTACACTGGCTCAAGGGCGATGCTGACAGAGCTAAGCTAGCACCGCCTGGCTGTGCCGGGAAACTGCCAGCTCAGGCAGAAATCTGCTGGATCCTGGCTCTGCTCTTCCCAGTGGATCTTGCTACAGATGTGTTTCTACCTACTGAAGCCTGGGAGGAAAGGCATTGAATAGTGTGGGCTTTGGGTGGTTCATTGATCCATCCTTTCTTGGGTTCGTTCTGTTGCATTCTGACTCCTGTGATTGTATTCCCTTTCCTTCCTCCCAGTACCCCCAGTCAATACGACAAGGAACGGCTTCACCTGCCCAGCTTGCTATGCGAAAGATTCACATTCGTGTGAAGCTGAAGGGTCCATGGATTGTACTGGAACAGAGGACCATTGCGTTCACATTACAGGCATTCTGGAGTCAGTAGAAGGTAAGTCAGCAGGGAACAAAGCTGAGGAAGAGAGCTGAATTCAACTGACATGAATCAGTTGGAAGACACCATGGGATCATCGAGTCTAACCCACCCACCCCCCGGGAACACAGGAATCTTTTGCCCAATGTGGGGCTTTAACCCACAACCCTGAAATTAAGAATCTAGTACACAGCTCCATTTGCACTATATGTTTAAGGCAGTATCATGCCACTTTAAACAGTCATGGCTTCCCCCAAAGAATCCTGGGAGCTGTAGTTTGTTGCCGAGTTTTGCTAGGAGAACCCCTATTTTCCTCACAGAGCTACAGTTCTCATAGTGATTTAATAGTCTACTTCTCTTTTGTGGGAATTTTGCAAATTGTAGTTCTGTGCTTTTGGGAAGCCGCAACTCTTTAAGGTGGCATGATACTGCTTTAAATGCTTATTTTTTATTGCATTTGTTGTTGTTTAGTCGTTTAGTCGTGTCTGACTCTTTGTGACCCCATGGACCAGAGCACACCAGGCACTCCTGTCTTCCACTGCCTCCCACAGTTTGGTCAAACTCATGTTGGTAGCTTCGAGAACACTGTCCAACCATCTCGTCCTCTGTCATCCCCTTCTCCTTGTGCCCTCCATCTTTCCCAACATCAGGGTCTTTTCCAGGGAGTCTTCTCTTCTCATGAGGTGGCCAAAGTATTGGAACCTCAGCTTCACAATCTGTCCTTCTAGTGAGCACTCAGAGCTGATTTCTTTCAGAATGGATAGGTTTGATCTTCTTGCAGTCCATAGGACTCTCAAGAGTCTCCTCCAGCACCATAATTCAAAAGCATCAATTCTTTGGCGATCAGCCTTCTTTATGGTCCAGCTCACATTTCCATACATCACTACTGGAAAAACCATAGTTTTAACTATACAGACCTTTGTTGGCAAGGTGATGTCTCTGCTTTTTAGGATGCTAAAAAGCATTTATACCCCCACCTTTTTTTCAAGGAGCTCCATTCAGAGTTTCCCTCCTCCCCATTTCCTCCTCACAACAACCTTGTGAGGCAAGTTAGACTGAGAGGCAGATGACTAGCCGAAGGTCACCCAATGAGCTTCACGGCTGAGAGGGGATTTGTACCACAATCTCCTAGCTCCTAGTCCCACACTTTAAGAACTACAGTACACCAAACTGGCCAGAGCGACCCAGCTGGGATGGTGATGGGTTTCTTTTCCACATGAGGATGAATCAAGAGAGGTACCATCAGTGAGTTTGTGGTACAGAGACCAACATAAACTCTAAGAAGCTAATGCAATTTAAACGGGGGTAAATCCCGCTGCTGTAACTTACTCCTTTTCCCAAAAACTCTGTTCAGCAGCAGGGCTAAAGCAGTATCATACAACTATAAACAGTACTCTTTTTTTGATAATAATTTTTATTAGTTTTCAATTACAATAACAGCCTCATTATAACAATGCCAAATTATAATACAAGTTGTAATACCAATCATTCAGACGACAAATTGTACAATTTGGGTGCCCCCCCCCCCGCCCCATGAGCTAGAATTGATGGTTGGATGATTTACTTTATTTCAGCGTTCCAAAATCTTATAAATTTCAGTTATGCTGCACTCAAAATAACAATCCCTTATACAGCAACTGCAGTTTTAACGACTTCCATTCGTACTGACACATTAAATGATTTATAAAGCTACAGGAGAAGCATTCAAACTCTCTCATAGTTCTTCCTGTGTGTGGCAGTTATTCTGTCCATAATGTTTCTTCCTGTCATTGTAAAATATTATGTCTATCTTTTGCCACTATAAACAGTCCTGGTTTCTTCCAAAGAATCCTTGAAACTGTAGTTTTTTAAGGGTGCTGAGAGTTCTTAGCAAACTCCTTATTCCCTCTGCCTCCCAGATACAGTCCCCAGAGATCCCTGAAAAGAGGGATGGATTTATTAAACTATTCTTGGAATTGTAGGGGGACACGAGTCTCCTTTCAGCACCCTTAACAAATGACAGTTCCCAGGATTCTTTGGGGGAATCTGTGGGTGTTTAAAGCGACTTGATACTGCTTAAAATGGATAGCCCAGATGGGGCCTAGAAGCCCGGGGAGTTCAAGAGAACCAGAAAGAGCCCAAAGAAAATTCATTGGTTTTACAGCAGGGTAGATCAGATTTAATTCTACTCGAAGGTTTTGTCTTACACCAAGGCAATGACACTGACCGGAGCTTAACAGAGCTTAGAACAAAACGCCATGTGCGGAGATTACAGAAAAACAAAAGCAAATGAAGGATCCATGAGACATGACTCTGCCTCTTCTTCTTTTTTGCTTTGCAGTTGCTGCAAATGAAAGGTTTGCAGCCAGAGGTTGTGCTGTGCCCAGCGTCTGCGAGCATAGCAAGGGGATGGCTGTTTTTGCTGGTGTTTACACTTACACACTGTCCACAGTCAGGGAATGCTACGCAGCCCCTTCTGCGAAGAATGCTGCCTGTCTTCACCACCAACACTCCTGGCTGGGGACCCTTTTCCTCTGCACACTGCTGCTTCCAGTGTCCTCCTTCTGCGTTCCACCCAGTCTCTCATCCTGGCTGATAAAGTGCTTCACTTGATCTCTCTCCTCTGCAGCGACAAGTCTGCCATATTGTACATAACATAATAGGGCTGTACACAACATACACACAAACATGCAGACCCTCCAAGTGTCCCTGTTTTCCAGGGACAGTCCCGCATTTACAGAAGCTATCCTGTTTTCCGATGTCCTGCTTTTCCTTAGGACTGGTTTCATCGGATAAATGTTGGAGAGTATGGAGTAACCTGTTGACTTTGCCTATGCTCCTCTTCAGTTACAACCTGAGGGTTTCAAGGTGTCAAACATAAAGTCATATTTACTACAAATATTTAAAGTATAAGTTCATTCAAGCATTATGTTTCAGCAGAGGCAAACACAGCTATTTCCTGCATAAAATACACATTTATGAAGTTCCTTGGGTTACAAATGCTTTGGGTGACAAACTCCGCTAACCCGGAAGTAGTTGCTCTGGGTTGCGAACTTTGCCCCAGGATGAGAACGGAAATTGCATGTCGGTGGTGCGGCAGCAGTAAGAGGCCACATTAGTGAAAGCACGCTTCAGGTTATGAACAGTTTCGGGTTAAGAACAGACCTCCGGAACGAATTAAGTTTGTAACCTGAGGTACCACTGTATTACAAAAATGACTTTAATAAGTCACATTAGAGTGCCTGTAAAATATTTAATATGCCTACAATCCAGGGCATGAACGAAATGTCAACTATTCTTTACGAATGCTTTTTTTCAGCCAGAGCCCACCTCTCGGAGTCCATTGCCATTCTTAGAGAACAAGGGAGAAGTTCATGGTGAGCTCCGGCATCTCTTTTTCTAGAGAAATAGCACAGACTTTAGCCAGTGGTATCCAAACTTTTTCCAAAGAGGGCCAGATTTGATGAAGTGAAGGGCCGTGAGGGCCGACCAATGGGCCAACCGAAGTTGTTAACCTTTTTTTAGGGTTGAAGTTGTTGAGGGTTTTTTAGGATTTTACCCCAGGAAATAAACTGCCACAGGGGCTGGATTAAACCGACCGGCGGGCCGGATTATGTCCCCAAAATGGATTTTGGACATGCCTAGTTTAAACTGAACAATGAAATCATGTAAGCAAGGCTGCAGTCCTAGCCCCACTTTCCTGGGGGTCAGCTCAATTCAGTTCCATGGGATTTAATTCTGAGTAGATGTGATTAGGATGGCAGATGCTAATGGCTTTGTGATGGGCCATTAGCCGTTTCACTTTGTATTTTAGGTGCCAGAAGAATCTGTGTTGTTTTCTCTGCAAAAGACTTAACAGGGCTGCCACTCTGGAAATTAATTATGTTTGGAAGGGAACATGCTAAGAAGGCGATAGATTTGTAACAGTACCTGTTGATGACTGAGATATGAAGGTCTATCGTGTACCTGAAATATTTGCAAAATAAAAAAAAGGTGGAGAAGAAGGTATATTTCTGTGTCAGTGAATGGAAGAAACTCTTGTGCAAAACAGACCAATTGCAAGAGAATGAAAAAAACACAGGATGAAAATGAATGGCAGAAGGATTAAGACATGTTCACACATCACTACCCTAAGGCGCCATGGAATGCACACAGCTTGCTAGTTTCTCAGTTTCTGAGGTCTACTTTGGTTTGTGGGAACATTTTATCTGACATTGATTTCACACACACACACCCCACTTCCCCTACTCTGGGCCAAATAGATTTTTAACGATAACAAACAACGTACATAATCTCATTCTCCCCCCGCCCCATTGCTGGGAGGGTGCGTGGGTTGGATGAGAGTGAAGAAGCAGCTGTATTACAGTAAATGAAGATGAAACACTGGATGAGTTCATCCCCAGTAACGTGGGGCTCATGTTTCATAGATGGGAGTGTTACAGCAGCGTGCCTGTTTTTCATCTGTCAGCCACTCGACTTTATGTAACTGTACAACCAGAGTTACTTTTGGGAACAGGCTGTTTAAATTTAGAAGGCGTCTCTCCTTGATTTCCCATCTGAGGCCCTGCATTCCTTCCTGGCTCACACAGATACCACCTAAACGCAACTTCTCCCCTCCAGAACTCTGGATAAAATAATACTCCATCTCCCTTTAAAGATATGTGAGAAAGGGAGGGGTAGAGGCAGTTGTTGTTTGGGCAAATAATGCATTGCTTCCTTCCCACTTAGTGCCATGCGTCTTCTGGAACATAGGCCAGAAACACAAGATTTTATAACAAAATAAATTGGCATGTAGTGCAGCCACCTCCCCAAGCAAAACTCTTTCAGTACCGGTTGCAGCATCTACTTCCATGACTTCTCACCGTTAACGCCAGCCAGCAGAAAAGTGGGAGACTTTCAAATTTGTCCTCAAACTGCAGAGCAAAATGGGAGCAGGGGAACAGGATGAACCAGCAGCTTGACTTTGGGCCAAGGATCCAAAGCTGTGTGTGGCAAGAAGATCAGCTTCTATCGGCAACCAGCATTTTTCTGCCTGCATTGCGACTTGGATGCACTTTCTGTTAGTGTCTGTTATGAGTTTATAAGATCTAAGACATAAAACAAATGTTTATAAATGCACCAGGCAAACACATACACAAATATATAAACCACATGTCTGAAACAGTACAGGAAAACAGTCCTAAAGCCATTTTGACTCTTTCAGTGACCTCAGATGTTCCTCTGCAGTGTGGTGTAGTGGTATGAACAGGGTTAGCCTGTGACCTGGACTCAGGAATTAAGTATTTATCATCACAAAAGAATAGCCAGGCTATCCAGGTAAATGCATTAACATGTTTCTTGCCAGAAAGGATTCTGCTGTAGACCGCCCCTTCTGTGATGTATGTATGATGTATTGGGGGGGGGTCTTGAGCTACAGGGTGGCAATTTCAAAAGTCTATATAAGGGCTTGCACACCATTGTTCTGGGTTCCTCCTCCCTCCTGCGTGGGGGTGTGCGGATGTGAGATCCTGTCGCAACAGTTTAATAAAGATCCTGCTTACCAGTTGTTTTGCTTCTTAATGTTCTCTGGCTGGCCTCTGTTATTTTCTCCTACCGATAGAGAACCTACATAAGGACTCTATACGGGCTCTTGGGTACCCCATAAGGGAAAAGGAGCAGATTTGTCTTATAACAGTTTCTATATTTTTGGCCACTGGTCCCATCACCTCCTGGCAAATAGAAGGGGAAGAAATGGAGGCAGTGAGAGATTTTATTTTCTTGGGCTCCATGATCACTGCAGATGGTGACAGCAGTCACGAAATTAAAAGACGCCTGCTCCTTGGGAGAAAGGCGATGGCAAATCTAGACAACATCTTTAAAAGTAGAGACATCACCTTACCAACAAAGGTCCGTATAGTTAAAGCCATGGTTTTCCCAGTAGTGATGTATGGAAGTGAGAGCTGGACCATAAAGAAGGCTGATCGCCGAAGAATTGATGCTTTTGAATTATGGTGCTGGAGGAGACTCTTGAGAGTCCCATGGACTGCAAGAAGATCGAACACATCCATTCTTAAGGAAATCAGACCTGAGTGCTCACTGGAAGGACAGATCGTGAAGTTGAGGCTCCAATACTTTGGCCACCTCATGAGAAGAGAAGACTCCCTGGAAAAGACCCTGATGTTGGGAAAGATGGAGGGCACAAGGAGAAGGGGACGACAGAGGATGAGATGGTTGGATAGTGTTCTCGAAGCTACAAACATGAGCCTGACCAAACTGCGGGAGGCGGTGGAAGACAGGAGTGCCTGGCATGCTCTGGTCCATGGGGTCACGAAGAGTCGGACACGACTAAACGACTAAACAACAATATTTTTGGCTAACAGCATACTAAAATGAGGAAGGTACATGTTTCCGGCCACTTCAACAGAGGTTTCCCTCTCCAAATTAGTCCCATTTGCCAGGGCTGGATTAAAGAGGCTGCAGAACATTTGCATGGGTGATCTGTGTCATTTGAAGAGATGAAGCTCTGGGGTAGCCTGGTGACTTTGATAACTGGTATGCACAAAGTATAAAACAGAATCTCTTATTCTCATGAGAATCAACTACCCCAAGATTAGGCAAATCAGACATGCTGTAAGGCAGGCTTCCTCAACCTCGGCCCTCCAGATGTTTTGAGACTACAATTCCCATCATCCCTGACCACTGGTCCTGCTAGCCAGGGATCATAGGAGTTGTAGGCCAAAAACATCTGGAGAGCCGAGGTTGAGGAAGCCTGCTGCAAGTCATCAATGTTATATGTCCAGATAGGAAAAGTAGAATTGCATTCGGCTTGTACTTGTTTGGCCTTAACTTTGCGGAGAAATGCTTGGAACCATTCCTTTGTTAAACCTTTTTTTCCTGGCCCTGGCTGTGGCATAGTAGCATAGTATGTGGGAGGGGGGACACAGGGATGGTTGCCCCAGGAGCAAAATGGTTAGGGGTGCAAAATTTCACCAACCAGTGCAGCCTCAATACAGATGTGTGTGCTTCCGTTGCTGGGCTCTGTTGAATATGACTTGTGAACCAGGAATTGACATGTGAACCAGGAATTGACCTCTTCAGACAACAGAACAACTCTTTTTCTCTCATCTCTGCAGCTTCTGGGTGATGCAAAGGCCATTAGGCAGTTGAATGTCCATGTGTACTCTGTCCATTTCCTTTCCTCCCACACCCTCTCCATGTGGCTCTGGCTGCTGGCCACCCATGCTATGCCACTGCTGTCTGCCCCCCCCCCCCCGTGGGTCTTAGGGGGAGAGCCTGGAGATTGTCTTTCTGGCAGGGAATGAGGGCCAAGTGTCCCAACACTGGGATCCTTATTTAGGGCCCTAGGTATCCCAACATGTTCCCTGTTTCTCCATGGAGGAGGGGGGAGAAATGTGTGCTGGTTCTCCTTGTTGTTGAACGGTGTTGCAAGGCCGCACCCCTCATGTTCTCCATCTCAAGCTTTTTTATGTTCCCCTTTGTTTCCCCTGAGGCACTGCGGCTGAGCTTGTCTCCCATCAAGCAGACTAAGTTTGTGCCCCACCCTTCTCCTTCCTCTCCCTCTCTTATCCATGGCATGGAGAGAGTGGGTGGTGAATAGCGGAGAATGTCCTATGTGAATGTCTGGAGGTGGTTGGGGGATGGATGGCGGCTAACAGATTGAGGCTGACAAGACAGAAGTACTGTTTTGGGGGGACAGGAGGTGGGTGGGTAAGGGGGACTCCCTGGTCCTGAATGGGGTAACTGTGCCCCTGAAGGACCAGGTGCACAGCCTGGGTGTCATTTTGGACCCACAGCTGTCCATGGAGGCACAGGTCACTTCTGTGTCCAGGACAGCTGTCTCCCAGCTCCATCTGGTACACAGGCTGAGACTCTTCCTGCCCATGGACTGTCTCACCAGAGTGGTGCATGCTCTGGTTATCTGCCACTTGGACTACTGCAATGTGCTCTACGTGGGGCTACCTTTGAAGGTGACCCGGAAACTACAATTAATCCACAATGCGGGAGCTAGACTGGTGACTGGGAGTAACCACCAAGACCATATAACACTGGTTCTGAAAGGCCTATATTGGCTTCCAGGATGTTTCCGAGCACAATTAAGTGTTGGCGCTGACCTTTAAAGCCCTAAGTGGCCCCGGCCCAGCATACCTGAAGGAACGTCTCCACCCCCATCATTCAGCCCGGACACTGAGGTCCAGCTCCGAGGGCCTTCTGCTTATCTTATTTATTTATTTATTTATTTACTCCCTCTCTTGTAACACTTGCATTTGAGGACATGCAATAAACGGAATGGTGGAAGATTCAGCACAAATACAGTGGTAACTTGGTTCAAAGCCTGTTCCAAAACCAAAGCATTCTAAAACCAAGGCATGCTTTTCCATAGAAACTAATGCAAAATGGATTAATCCATTCCAGACTTTTAAAAACAACCCCTAACACAGCAATTTAACATGGGTTTTCCTATCTAACAAGACAAGACCATTGATCTATAAAATGAAAGCAATAATCAATGTACTGTGTTGTTGTTGTTGTTTAGTCATTTAGTCGTGTCCGACTCTTCGTGACTCCTTGGACCAGAGCATGCCAGGCACTTCTATCTTCCACTGCCTCCTGCAGTTTGGTCAAACTCATGCTGCTAGCTTCGAGAACACTATCCAACCATCTCGTCCTCTGTCGTCCCCTTCTCCTTGTGCCCTCCATCTTTCCCAACATCAGGGTCTTTTCCAGGGAGTCTTCTCTTCTCATGAGGTGGCCAAAGTATTGGAGTCTCAGCTTCAGGATCTGTCCTTCCAGTGAGCACTCAGGGCTGATTTCCTTCAGAATGGATAGGTTTGATCTTCTTGCAGTCCATGGGACTCTCAAGAGTCTCCTCCAGACCATAATTCAAAAGCATCAATTCTTTGGCGATCAGCCAATTCTTTATGGTCCAGCTCTCACTTCCATACATCACTACCGGGAAAACCATAGCTTTAACTATACGGACCTTTGTTGGCAATGTACTGTATTATAAAATAAATAAGACAGTATTGTAGAGGATAAAAATTAAAATTATTTTTTTTTCTTACCTGCACTGATGATAGTCATTATTTGGATGGGGGGCTTTTATCCATTTCTGCAGTCACACAATCAATCAATCAATCAATCAATCAATCAATCTGTAGCTGAACTGGGTTCTACACAGTCACAAAAACAAGTCACAAAAATGAAGTTACAAGTCACAGTCACCAGTCAGTCCCATAAAAGTTGGCTGTGCCTAGAATAGTAGCTGTTGCTGTTGCATATTTCCCAGTGGTGAGCAGAGCTTTCTTGGCTGTGTTCAGCCCTTCATGCTTTTAACATTGTTTTCTATAGCTGATGAATATCAAAGCAAACCGAGAGGGATGCATGGTTTTGTATATGAGACCTCCCGTTTGCAAAGTTGATCTACTACCCACTTGGCCTGTATCCCACTGGGGAGGTGCTTTGGCGTCTCCACCTTGTTTTCCGGGAAGCTTGACTGATCTCTTCTACAGAACAGTTCCCCACCTCCCAACTACACATACACATATACGCAGTTGCATCAAGGAGGCAGAAGTGTGGGTTGGATTCGTTTTGTGTGTGTGTTCAAGGCTTGTGAACAGCTCTCAGTTGAAATCTAGAATGATGCAGACTCCTCTTTTCATCAGCCTCCTTGCTGCCTTCATAGCCCTGGGTGAGTATGGAAACTTTTTTGGGGGTGGGGTAGGGGGGGGAGGCTTTGCAGCACCAGAAAAAAATGCTGCATGTTTCATCTCACAGATAGTCAGTCCTCTGTGCAAAACAATCATCGTTACTCCCTGGGTTGGAACAAAGAGGGTCAGAACTTTTGCAGGAACCCACTCATTAGCATTTGCAACAATATATTGAAATGGGGAAACGATGGGTGCTAAGGGTATAATAATAATAATAATAATAATAATAATAATAATAATAATAATAATAATAATAATTTATTTATACCCTGCCCATCTGGCTGGGTTTCCCCAGCTGCCTCTGGGCAGCTTCCAACAAAAGATTAAAAATACAATAAAGAATCAAACATTAAAAATTTCCCTAAACAGAGCTGCCTTCAGATGTCTTCTAAAAGTCAGATTGCTGTTTATTTCCTTGACATTGGATGGGAGGGCGTTCCACAAGTGCATCCGTCTTCAGTGATATAATATGCATGCTGATTTCCTAGAGTAAAGGCTTGGCTGGGGGGAGAAAAGAGCCAAGCCTGGAACTAAAGAGACAAGCGAAGCCAAGCATCCTGTTATGACAACCTGCCACAGCTTTGCTGATTCGGTGAGATACAATTTCCTGATAAGGCATAAAAATAAAAAAGAGAGAGGGAGGTATTAGGAGAGCACATACTTTCCATGTGTTGTAACATCTGAGCATTCCAAGGGTTAGGAGTCTGTGCTTTTTTATCGCCCGTCTGGCAGTCAGAGAGATGGAAGAGGTGATGGTTTAATGCCTCTCAAATATACCCTGTGGTAATGTAGTTTTTCCAAGGGCTGTTGACACTACAGTCAACCAGGAGGAAACACAATTCCAAAGAGATTGGAGTAAATTTATGGATTATATAAATAATAACGGTAGAGATTTGAAAAAACTAGCAGGAATGAAATAAATCTTACGACGGGGACTGGATATAATAAGAAACTGTGGAAAGGAGACTGAAGTAAGAAAACCTGTGGAAGGGAGGGAGGGAAGTCAATGCTCAACAGAGTGTTGGGAAAGAATGTGGGCAGATGATTGTTGAATAATACTGTACTTTGTTTGTGTGAAGTGAAAAACCAATAAAAAGCATTTATTTTTTTAAATAAGACAATGTGCAGTAGCATATAGATCTGAGAGTTACATGTCAAAGTGTGTGTGTCCAAAGTTAAGGAATGGGTGTGGCCTATTTGGTTTATTTTTAAAATGACAACATGAGGTTCGGGTAGGGTCAGGAAAAAACCTCTTCGAATCACAATGAATCTGTGAGAGAAAAAATAAAATGGACAGATTTGAGGGGGCCTTGCAGGGGAACAAAACATTTGGCATCTCAGCGGGGGTACCTATTAGAATCACATTTGTTTTGCATATTTTGGGGGGGGGTGTTCTTGGAGGTCCACAGAATCTTTTGGCAGCGCATGAGACTTATGGAAGCAGTCTGATATAAAAATTAAGAATGGAACATTTTTGAGACCCTCAACCCCCCCCCCCGGCCCCAAATTAACAGCTTTGGAATCGTGATCATGGACTCATAGAAAGAGAGGGATAGTAGCTGTCAACTTTTTTATAAGAAAATGAAATTTCTTTTTTAAAAAACGACATTTTGGGGGGGACCCCCCCAAAAGCACTTGAGGGCCTGGATGCAATTCACAGCTTGTGAGGTAGCCCCCCCCCCCAATTTAGTGGGACAGTTGCATAAGGAATTGGCATCATATATGGTGTTGGTTTTATTTTTTAAAAACACAATTGGTTTTGCAATAAAGCCTCTAAGTACAGTGGTACCCCGCAAGACGAATGCCTCGCAAGACGGAAAACCCGCAAGACGAAAGGGTTTTCTGTTTTGGAGGCGCTTCGCAAGACGAATTTTCCTATGGGCTTGCATCGCAAGACGAAAGCCCATAGGGAAATGCTGGCGGTCGGGAGCAAAGACTTTCGCCCACAGCCGGCCTTCAGAAGAGGACCTCTTCTGAAGGCCGGCGGGGGGCAAAAGTCTTTGCTCCCCCCCGCCTGCCTTCCCCCCCGCCTGCCCCGGGCGATCTTAAAATGCTGGCGGGCGGGAGCGAAGCGTTCGCTGCCGACCCCCAGCATTTTAAAATCTCCAAGGGACAGCAGAGAAGTCTCTGTCCCGGGGAGATTTTAAAATGCTGGGGGTCGGGAGCGAAGCGTTAGCTGCCGACCCCCAGCATTTTAAAATCTCCCCCTGTCCCGGGGAGATTTTAAAATGCTGGGGTCGGGAGCGAAGCGTTCGTGCCGACCCCCAGCATTTTAAAATCTCCCCGTGTCCCGGGAAGGTTTTAAAATGCTGGGGGTCGGGAGCGAAGCGCTGCCGACCCCCAGCATTTTAAAATCTCCCCGTGTCCCGGGAAGGTTTTAAAATGCTGATGGTCGGGAGCGAACGCTGTTCCGAAGTGGGGAGGGGGGGCGGGGACACCTGCCCCAGCCGCCCCACTTCGGAAAGCTGTTCCGAAGCGGGGAGGGGGGGCGGGGACACCTGCCCCAGCCGCCCCACTTTGGAAAGCTGTTCCGAAGCGGGGAGGGGGGGCGGGGACACCTGCCCCAGCCGCCCCACTTCGGAAAGCTGTTCCGAAGGGGGGAGGGGGGGCGGGGACACCTGCCCTAGCCGCCCCACTTCGGAAAGCTGTTCCGAAGCGGGGAGGGGGGGCGGGGACACCTGCCCCAGCCGCCCCACTTCGGAAAGCTGTTCCGAAGCGGGGAGGGGGGGCGGGGACACCTGCCCCAGCCGCCCCACTTCGGAAAGCTGTTCCGAAGCGGGGCGGGGGGGGCGGGGACACCTGCCCCCGCCGCCCCACTTCGGAAAGCTGTTCCGAAGCGGGGCGGGGGGCGGGAACACCTTCTGAAGGCGGGCAGGGGGCGAAAGTCTTTGTCCCCCCTGCCTGCCTTCCCAGGGGCTTTTAAATCGCCCCGGACAGCGGAGAAGTCCTCCGCTGTCCGGGGCGATTTTAAAATGCCGCCCGCCAGCATTTTAAGATCGCCCCGGACAGCGGAGAAGTCCTCCGCTGTCCCAGGGTTTTTTAAAATGCTGGGGGTGGGAAGAAAAGCCCTTGTCCCCCCCCCCAGCCTTCAGAAGAGGGAAACCGTGCATCGCAAGACAAAAAAACCGCAAGACGAAGAGACTTGCGGAACGAATTAATTTCGTCTTGCGAGGCACCACTGTAGTTTGCAGAAAAATGGAATAAATAAAATCATTGCCGGGCCTTGAAGTCCTGGACCTTGACTGAATTTTTCTGTTCTGTATTGTTGCTCTTTGGCTGGAGCCCTGGCTGACTATTGCCCAATTCCTACTCTTAGCTGCAACCAGCAAGGAGTAATAATAACAAAAATAATTTATTAATTATACACCACCCATCTGGCTGGGTTTCCCCAGCCACACTGGGTGGCTCCCAACCAAATATTAAAAACACAATACAGCATTAAACATTAAAAACTTCACTAAACAGCCTTCAGATGTCTTTTAAAAGTCAGATAGTTGTTTATTTCCTTGACATCTGATAGGAGGGCGTTCCACAGGGCGGGTGCAACTACTGAGAAGGCCCTCTGCCTGGTTCCCTGTAACCTCACTTCTCACAGTGAGGGAGCCGCCAGAAGGCCCTTGGAGCTGGACCTCAGTGTCTGGGCAGAACGATGGAGGTGGAGACGCTCCTTCAGGTATACTGGGTCAAGGCCATTTAGGGCTTTAAACGTCAGCACCAACACTTTGACTTGTATTTGGAAATGTAATGGGAGCCAATGTAGGTCTTTCAGGACTGATGTAATATGATCTCGGCGGCCACTCCCAGTTACCAGTCTAGCTCCTGCATTGTGGGTTAATTGCAGTTTCTGGGTCACCTTCAAAGGTAGCCCCACGTAGAGCTCATTGCAGAAGTCCAAGTGGGAGATAACCAGAGCATGCACCACTCTGGCGAGACTGTCCATGGGCAGGTAGGGTCTCAGCCTGCGTCCCAGGTGGAGCTGGGAGACAGCTGCCCTGGACACAGAATTCACCTGCACCTCCATGGACAGCTGTGGGTCCAAAATATTTCCCAGGCTGAGCATCTGGTCCTTCAGGGTCACAGTTACCCCATTCAAGACCAGGGAGTCCTCCACACCAGCCTACACCCTGTCCCCCAAGAACAGTACTTCTGTCTTGTCAGGATTCAACCTCAATCCGTCACTGGGAGAGGAGGGAAACAAAGTGATATGATTAAACTAAACATCTGGAATTTTATTTATTTATTTATTGGGTTTTTATATACAAGAATGTTATACAAATAAGTATACCAAGTTTTCTCATGTACTGTATATCACAAAAAACAGCATAATAAATGTGGAAAGAAATATCTACAACCATATGTTTCATTATTAGTGGTCAATGTATAAGTTCTTAGTTTATGAATTGGTTAAAACAATTAGGGAGAAGGAGAAGAAACTATTCTCACTACAGCCAACCAAAGACAACTAACCACACCCTAAGCCACCCTGAATGTCTCTCATCACCAAGGAAATGATTTCTCATTTTGACTGTGGCACAGGAGCTGGAGAGCTGGAGAGGAAGCTGCTGTAATTACGTTATATCAGGACTCTGCATGCAAGTAATATGAAAAAGAGACTGTGCAGGCAATCAGTGTCTCCATACCTTCCAAACCAATGGAAATTGATGGGTTTCGGTTTGCTAACTGACCCCAGCACTTCACTGTCTCCCAGCTTAATAGCCTTCCTACCCTGGGGACCCCACTGGCTGAAGACAATAATTGGGATGAGGAGAGAGAGGGGGATGGCGGGTTGAGATTTCATTGATACTCTGGGAGAAAAGTACCGTACTTTTCCATGTATAAGACTAGGGGTTTTTTTTACTGAAAAATTGTGTTTAAAATTGGGGGTCGTCTTATACATGGGTCTTCTTTCTTTGGCAGTCACTTGTAGCCAAGTAAGTTTGCCTTCCATAAACACAGTTTTAACAATGAGTCCATAAGTGACTGTGGAGGCCAATTCCGGATCCACACGTCCTTCCACAGTGGGGACATTGGTTTCTGGGCGGGAGTTGATCACGGTGTGGATTTGCCAGGCGTGCCTTCCTCCTAGCATGTTTCTCCCTTGTGTCCTGAGTTTGTCTTTAAAGTCCATGACACCTTTGGTAAAGGCTGTTCTCCAACTGGAGCACTCGCAGGCCAGTGTTTCCCAGTTGTCGGTGTTTATACTACATTTTTTTAAGATTTGCCTTGAAACAGTCTATAAACCTCTTTTGTTGACCACCAGCATTACACTTTCCATTTTTAAGTTCGGAATAGAATAGTTGCTTTGGAAGACGATAATCAGGCATCCAAACAACATGACCAGTCCTGCCTAGGAGGGACGTAGGATTGGTCAATGCCGTGAGCTGTAAATGGTCTGCAGCGTGTTATTGATGTCTTTGGCAAGGGGTGGTGTTGATTGGGTGTTGGTGTGGAAATTGGGCGGGCAATAGGCTGCTTCTCCCAGCAAGGGGACAGACGTTAGTGATTTCAGGCAACCCCCCCTCCCGTAATTAAAGCTCAACAACTCTGGGCATTCTTCCCCCGTTTTTTAAATTTTTAGTCCCCCAAAATAGAGTATGGGAAAAGTATAAAGAGTTATTAGAACCTAAAATGCCTTGGTGGTTCTCACCCTTAGAGGCGATAGCAGTAAAAAGGAAAAAATATGGAATCAAACTGGGACATATATAAGGATTTATTAGAAGAAAAAGATAACAATTTGAAACTGAAAGATTATGAGGAATCCACCTAACAGGGTGGATTCAGTACCACCAACTAAATGAAGTGTTCAAAGCAGATTATTAAAAAAAGGTTCTGCAAATGAAATTTCAATGTTAGATAAAAAATTATTAAATAAAAGAAAGGTATTTTCTAAAATGTATGGAATTTTGTTGGAATGGGAGATGTTTTATGACTTTATCGTGTTTTATGACTTCTTTGATATTGTATGTGGGCTGGAACTGGTCTGTGACCAAAATAATAAAATTCATTCATTCACAATTTTAAAAATAAATAAATAGAACATTAATCTTTTGTTAAAAAAAATAATAATAATAGAGGCTGTCTTCCGATGTCTTCTAAAGGTTGTATGTTTACCGTATTTATCTCCTTTGCTTAGTGGTTGCATAACTCCACACCCTCCAGCATTTATCTGATGAAAATAGGGATGTCCTAAGGAAAAGAGGGACATCAAATAAGAAACCGGGACGGCTTCTGTAAATCCAGGACCGTCTCTGATGATTGGGACACTTGGAGGGTCTGTAATGACTTTAGCCAGAGGGAACCTGCTCAGGGTTTGAGTACACCTTGTTTTGGTGCATCTTGAGTTCTTAACTCTGGGTAAAGAAAAAAGTGGGAAGGGGTCCAGGTCAGAGCTAAACAATACAAATTGAGAGCATTTGCAGATGATTTGGTACTTACTTTACAAGAGCCAGAATCTAGTACGAAAAGGATTTTAGAACTAATTCAAGATTTTGGTCAAGTGGCAGGATTCAAACTGAACAAAACTAAAACTAAGGTTTTGGAGAAAAACTTAACACCTACTGAAAGGGATAGGTTTCAGAATGTGACAGGTTTAACTGTGGTTAAGAAAGTGAAATATTTGGGGATTAACATGACAGCTAAAAATGTGAATTTGTTTAAAGACAATTATGAAAAATGTTGGATAGAAGTGAAAAAAGACTTAGAAATCTGGTCGAAGTTGAAGCTTTCCTTGTTGGGTCGAATTGCAGCTATAAAAATAAATGTATTGCCTAGAATGTTGTTTTTGTTCCAAACACTGCAAATTGTGGACAAGATGGACTGTTTCAAGAAGTGGCAAAAAGACATTTCTAAATTTGTCTGGCAGGGCAAAAAGCCCAGAATAAAATTTAAGATATTAACTGATGTAAAAGAAAGGGGGGGATTTGCCCTGCCAGACTTCAAACTTTACTATGAATCAGCAGCTTTCTGCTGGTTGAAAGATTGGCTACTTCTTGAGAATACAGATATTTTGGATTTAGAAGGGTTCAACAATACTTTTGGGTGGCATGCATATCTGTGGTATGACAAGGTTAAAGCTCATAAAGCTTTCAAAAATCATATTGTCAGGAAAGCATTGTATAATGTCTGGATTAAATATAAAGATTTGCTGGAAAACAAAACTCCCAGGTGGTTATCTCCAATGGAGGCGAAGGCCGTGAAAAAACTTAATATGGAGTCGAAATGGCCGAAATATTGGGAATTTGTGGAACAAGAGGGGGATAAATTGAAATTGCAGAGTTATGAGAAATTGAAAGATAAAGTGCGAGACTGGCTTCACTATTACCAAATAATGGAGATTTTTAAGTCTGATAGGAAAAATGGTTTCCAGGTGGAAAAATCGAAATTGGAGACAGAACTGTTAGAGTCCAAAACTAAGAACTTGTCAAAAATGTATAACTTGCTGTTGGAATGGAACACACAGGATGAAACAGTTAAATCAGCTATGATTAAATGGGCACAAGATATTGGTCATAACTTTATGTTTGAAGACTGGGAATGGTTATGGACCACCGGTATAAAATTTGCGGCATGTAATGCCTTAAAATAAAATTTTATGAAAATGATTTATAGGTGGTACATGACCCCAGTCAAGCTTGCAAAAATTTACCATTTGCCCGATAATAAATGTTGGAAATGTAAAGAAACTGAAGGCACATTCTTTCACCTTTGGTGGACGTGCCCAGGGATTAAGGCTTTCTGGGAGATGATTTATAATGAAATGAAAAAGGTATTTAAATATACCTTCTTGAAGAAACCAGAGCCCTTTCTCCTGGGTATGGTCGGCCGATCGGTGTTAAAGAAGGATAGAACTTTTTTTATGTATGCTACAACAGCAGCAAGAATACTTATTGCAAAGTATTGGAAGACAGAAGAACTACCCACCGTGGAAGAATGGCAGATGAAAGTTATAGACTATATGGGACTGGCAGAGATGACTGGCAGAATCCGAGACCAGGGGAAAGAGACGGCGGAAGAAGATTGGAAGAAATTCAAAGACTATCTTAAGAAATATTGTAAAATTGCTGAATGTTAAGACGAGGTTGATTCTGAAATTAAGTGGTTGTTAGCTGTAATCATTATGTAAGTATGAAAAAAAAAACTTAAAAATTTAATGGAAATTAAGGGAAGGATTTGTTGAAGAGAATTTATCAGAGATTGGAATGCAGTAAGGAGAGGTATGAGGAGGTCGGGAAAGTAAGTTTCATGAACATAAGGGAATGAAGTTATACATGTGGTTTTTTGCTTTTTTGTATGTATTTTCGTCTTTTTTTTCCTTTTTGTGTTTTCTGTGATTTTTATGTTTTATAAATTTGTGAAAAAGCCAATAAATATCTTTTTTTAAAAAAGAAAAAAGTGGGAGAAGGAGAGGAAGGAGAATTAACAACATTGACTTTTCTTATTTTCTGTGCTTTCAGGAATGGCTCTAGAATGTGAGCAATGTACTGGGCCGACAAGCCGCTGCTCAGGACCTATGATGCAATGCACCCAGGAGCAAGACACATGTGTTTCTCGGGTGTTGAGTGTCAGCATTTCTGGAATAGGTAAGTGGAGATGACCTACAGCCACCAGCAGATTTGAACAAATGCATAACATCCTCTTGCCTGGGTGGGGAGCAGGGCAGGGCCAAGACATTTAGGCATCTGAGGAAGACCCCCAAATGTCAACCCGCCCCCCATTCCCACTAGGGAAGAAGAGGAGAGGTCCCAAGAAAGGAGGGATGGCAACTAAAGCTATTTGAATACATTGAGTTCGCTAAAATGACAGAAACAATTAGAAATAGAACAAGCCAAAAGTTCACTAAGGAATGGGAGTGCTATAAAAATTACCTAGAAAAACACTGTTCTCAAATAAAACCTTTATTAATTTTTGCAGAAGACAAAACAATTATAATAACCAACAAGCTAATACAGTACCAAGGAATGGAAAACATCTAAAGAAGGCAGTTAAAGAATGGGGGGGGGGGGAATGACCCGAATTGAGGTGGTGGACTGAAGTCAATTTAAAAGATTAGAATTGTTAAGGTTTGATCATTAAATACAAGTATGGGGAATGGGTGGTGCGGAAGATAATTAGTGGCTATGTATTTTCCCCCTCTTTATTTTCTTTAACTATGTTACTTGGGTATAGTTTGAATTATAGATGGAAAATGTTTATGGATTTATGCAAAACAAAACTTAATAAAAATAATTAAAAAGAAAGAAAGAAGAGAAGAGGGAAGATCTACGTCAGGAACAAGGGGTTGAAGCAAGATGGACACCTGCTTCCCCGGGGGACCCTGTTGCGTGAGGCAGTCTCTTCACCTTGCCTCTTGGTGGGGAGGATGGTTCAGCTGGGTTCCTTGCTGTGGTTTAATTCCCTGGAGATTCCAAATGTAACCAGTTACCCTACCTTCTGTCTGCAGAGAAGCTTTTGTTGAGCACTATGCAAGGAAACAAAGGGCATTTCCTTGACATGGATTGAGAAAAGTGCTAAAATGATGAGAATGATGCCTGCTACGTATCTAGCACATATCTAGTAAAAGGTAAAGGTAAAGGATCCCTGACAGTTAAGTCCAGTCGCGAACGACTCTGGGGTTGTGGCACTCATCCCGCTTTACTGGCCGAGGGAGCTGACGTTTGTCCGCAGACAGTTTTTCCGGGTCATGTGGCCAGCATGACTAAGCCGTTTCTGGCGAACCAGAGCAGCGCACGGAAACACCATTTATCTTCCCGCTGGAGTGGTACCTATTTATCTACTTTGACATGCTTTCGAACTGCTAGGTTGGCAGGAGCTGGGACCGGGCAATGGGAGCTCACCCCGTCACGGGGATTCGAACCGCCAACCTTCCGATTGGCAAGCCCTAGGCTCAGTGGTTTAGACCACAGCGCCACCCATGTCCTGTCACATATCTAGTACCCAGCTCTAAATGGCTTGGGATCCAAGTACCATACTTAAAGGAGTGGCTTCCTGCTATCAACTGCAATGCCACTTCTGATGGCTTTGCTGGTGGGAGTTGCTGCCCAGTTGGCACTGACCCACAACCAGGCCTTCTTAGTGGTGCTGGAGCGTTCTCCCTGGTGAGGTGGCATCTGTTTCCCACATTATTAACACCCAGGAGGAAGTTAAAACTAGGCATTTATTTAATGTCTGAAAGATGCCCCGTTGATATTATCAGCTCAGGGCATGTGACTGTTCTTGAATGGTTTCCATTTGTTTTATTTGCTGATTGTATTTCTTTGTGGTTTTCTTGCTTCCGAACCTGGATTCTTTTCAGGGTAGAGGTGGGCTAGGGATTTAATGAAACATGAAATCGAGAAACTGGCGCACGATGGGCCCATGGCCTGCCTTGAGACATAGGCTATGATTGCTAAAGATGCTGTGGTGTGTGGCCGGTGGCTGCCCACACTGAGGCTAAAGCTATCGCTTGTGTTTCACGAGATTTGCCTTCTTTTGATCCCTCCAGACCAAAATGTTTTTGAGAAGGGTTGCGGCTCATCAAAATTGTGTGGCAAAGGGCCCCAAATCATCAACAGTGGCCTATTTGGAACAACAGTAATCGAGACTCATTGCTGTGTGGGAGCTGCCTGCAAAACAACATGGCCCCCTAGTAAGTCCCCGCTTGTCTCTTTATCCTTTCCTCACTCCTTTCATCAGTCGCTTGCTGACAACCTGGTCACTGAGATTCATCCTGATTTAGACTAAAGGTTGCAGGAAAATGAGAAGACATCCACCTGCGGAATAGTGACAGCTTAGAAGTGGCCTTTCTTTTTCCTTAAAAAAGAAATGCTGTTGCTTCCCACACCCCTAGGGAAACCTCGGCATTGATTTGATGTTTTACTGTGGCGTCTGCTTCTTCCAGACTGCTTCGCCAAAAACAATGCCCTAGGTGCATCAGAACAAATGCTCAACTAAGATGGGATAGAATCAACCCCCCATGTAAGTTTTGTGCAAGCATATCAGGAGGAATGCTCAATGAACGGGTCATGTGGATGATGCTAAAACATCAGGAACAGATTCTCTATACAAGACTGAAAATTTTGGGCAAAGAAGATTCTCACTGCAAAGAAGGAGAACCTGCAGCTCTCTAGATTAGGGTTTCCCAAACTTGGGTCTCTAGCTGTTTTTGAACTACAACTCCCATCATCCCTAGCTAGCAGAACCAGTGGTCAGGGATGATGGGAATTGTAATAAAAAACAACTAGAGACCCAAGTTTGGGAAACCCTGCTCTCGATGATGGCAAACTGCAACTCCCAACATCCCTGGCAACTGGCTAGCTGAGACTGATGGGATTTGAAGTCCAACAATAGTGGAAAGGCTATAGGTTCTCTGTCCCTGGCTCCATGGAAATCTGGCCTAGAATTGGAAGCATGTGAGGAAATGGGAGAGTGCAGATCTTCAGTGGTAGGGCCAATTCAAATACCTGACGGTTTAAGGACAGAGGGCAGGAGGAACCTCTCCCAAAGATGGGGAGGAGACCAAAATTTGGAAGGGGCTGTCATTTCAGGTGAGATGGTGCCCCCATGTATGAAGCCAAAGATGGCAAGAAACATGGTACTGGCTTGTCAAACGTGTGTCCTAGACATATGAGGCACTTAGCAGAATGGGAGGCACTTAATTTTTGTGATCTTCTTCCTAATCCCCTTGTCAGCGCTGTTCTTCTTACATCCCAAATCTGATTTTCTCACCTTTCTTCCAGCTCCAAGGAGAAACACCACATTGAATGGAAGGCAATGCTCCACTTGCCCACCTGATGGAACCGAGTGTAAGTTTCCGCCCATCAAATGTGCTGGAGAGGAGACCAAATGCTTTGAGATATCTGGAGCTACAACCATAGGTAACTATAAATCACCTATTCATATAAGGGTTTGTTGGAGGAACTTGATTTCTGTGACTCTTGTTGCAGATTGGCCTGATCCACACCTATGGTGTTTTCTGAGGAAGGTAATTGAGAGGGCTGTGGGATGGCAACTGTAAACGTTTTTTGAAGGCACCAATCATCTAGACCAATTCCAGTCTGATTTTGGAGCTGAATTAGTCTGGGTTGCTTTGAAGGGGTGACCATCGAGAGAGAGGCAAGGGGAGGGCAGCCTGACTTCTACTCCTCATCCTCTTTGTGGTTTTGATACCTTAGTATCGTCCTGGACCACACTGTGGGATGGGTATCGGAGGTACTGCCTTACATTCCCATTTCCAGCATCAGAGAGTAGCATTCATGCAGTTATGCTGTGGAGTTCTGCAGTCATTTGGAGAAGTCATTAGGAGATGTTGTTATTGATGCATGCCCCCCCAACTCTGTTTCTAAACAGTATCTGAATCAGGTGAAAGTGGGCATGAAATGGGCTGGTGCCTGGCACAGTGATGGGCTGGATGGGGGCCAAAAAACTGAGCTTAAATCCTGGGATAATGTGGGTTTTGTGGGTGAGTGCTTCGCTGGTCTGGGGAATCTGTCAGTTGCCTGTATGAGATTGCATGGTTCCTTCCAACCCTATGATTCTATGGTATCTATAGCCCTTCTTGGCCCTAGTGATCCCCAGATTGGATTAGGGTGATGCATACTACTTAGGGCTCCCTTAAGGTTGGTCTAAAAGCTTCCGGTAAGGCAGAATCAACCAGCAAGACTTACTGAAGGGGGTTCCATATCAACAGTATGAAGCACCTGTCTTAAAAGAGCTGCACAAAATAGTAATGTTGAGAAAGAAAGTCTTGCCTTCATGAATGGCTTACGTTGTATACTCCTGCCCAGTCACTTCAGCCTTTGGCAAAGAAATTTGTGATAGTGCCCAATGCTCTGGAGGCTTCACTTCTGTCCACTAAGACAGGGGCCTTCAGTGTGGTGGCCCCTGCCTTTTGGAATGCACTCCCACCAAACATCTGGCAGGCACTACAGTATTGGCATTTAGAGACCTGCTTAAAATCATAACTTCACTCAGACCTGAGGGCGTGAGCCAGCCATGTTTGATGTATTAAGCTGCTCTACTGATTTGAAATGTGTTTTGCCATTTTTAGTGATTGTTTAGATCTCCAGCTCTCCCAATAATTCCCTTCTCTTCCTTCTCCTTCCCCTCTTCCCCTCTCCTCTCCCCCTCTCATACAGCTGCTTACACAGAGAGAGGGGGGAGGGAGGGAGGGAGGAAAAGCACCTATCCTCCTTCATGCAAGGAAGAGAACAAATGAAAGCCGCTAAATGTCCCCCTGTTCCGCTCTTGGAATTTGTTTCCTGCCCAGCTTGCTCAGCCACTGACTCCCCCACGAAATAGAAAAGTGAAATCACTGGATGAAGTATCTCTCCTGATAAATGACTGTCGTTTCCTTCAATTCTCTTTGCAGCAGGACAAACCGCAAGCACTGTCCTCAAGGGCTGTGCAAATGAACTGGCCTGTCAAGCAATGGAAATAGGCACCAAAACATTTGGGAATGTGATACAAGAAGTCAAGTCAGCTAAATGCACAGATGGGGCAGCCAGTACCATCCCAGGATCCCTCGGACTCCTCTTCCCAGCCCTTAGCGGCCTGCTGCTGGTCAAGTTCCTTGCTTGATTCCCCAGTTGATGCTAAGATTGGAGAATCCGCTTTGAGCTACTCCTCTTTTCTGCTTGCTTGTGGCTATTATTGAGGCCACTACAGATGCTGAAGAGCAAGGGCCAATGGCCACTCTCCAGTCTTGTCTGTCTGGTCCTTGAGAGTCTTCCTTTGACACCTCCCTGCCCCTGTCACCCACCTTGAGCACTTTTGGCTGCTTGGAATGTGTCGTTGTGCTCTGATGATGCTTTTAGCTTGCCTGGTTGGAAGACAGAGATGGATGGCTGAGTGTGTGTGCACAAGCTAGTCTCCTATGCAAAGGAGAGCTTTACATTCGCTAGTTCCCCGACAGTTGCCTCAGGCTCTGCCTACCAAAGGCATGTGGCCCCCAGTAGTCTGCACAGAATGGAATGTGGCCCTTGGACTTACAAGGCTTCCTCATCCCTGCCCATAGTCTAGAAGCTCATGTTTACATCTACTGCCCTCCAACAGGAGCAAAGGGTGATGTTGACCAAGGGAGTTCTTGGTTGGTGTCTTTACCAGCAGATGCCACTGTTGGGTGGCAGGCAAAGGAGACTGGCTGTGTCTGTTCAATACACAACTGGATCTGGATAGTGGCCAGCAGTCACCAGCGATGCCCTCTTGGCCAGTGGTATTTCCATCCTGATTCAGCACTGGGTCACATAGTCAGCATGCACCTTTTCACTGAGCTAGGGCTTTTCTCCAGGAATTGGTGAATCTGCCCACTTCTCTCAATGTCTCCCATTCCCCCACCGCATAATAGTTCATAATAGTTCAGTTCGCCACATTTCTGCATTATATTTCTTTTTTAAAAATGGAATAAAGGTCACAAAAATCATCACCATTTTAGTGTCCACTTCTCCTAGCATACATTTTTTGTATGTCAAACATACGCAAAGTTTGCAAGAGATTTCCTGTAATATTATGCATTTTTGCACACTTTATTTAATGAGTTTTAATGCACATTAACATATGTGATGATGCACACATTGGTTGCTTGCAGAGCGGTGCTACAAAAGTGGAGATTCTGAGGGATACCTGCTTTTTGGTTCATGCCCAACCCAATCCTGGAAAGAAATACACTAGTGCCAAAAAAAATCATTTAGAAATGTTTAATCTGAAGAAAAAGGGATGCAGGTGGCGCTGTGGGTTAAACCACAGAGCCTAGGACTTGCCAATCAGAAGATCGGCGGTTCGAATCCCTGTGATGGGGTGAGCTCCCGTTGCTCGGTCCCAGCTCCTGCCAACCTAGCAGTTCGAAAGCACGTCAAAGTGCAAGTAGATAAATAGGAACCGCTCCGGCGGGAAGGTAAACGGCGTTTCCGTGCGCTGCTCTGGTTCACCAGAAGCGGCTTAGTCATGCTGGCCACATGACCCGGAAGCTGTCTGCGGACAAATGCCAGCTCCCTCGGCCCATAGAGCGAGATGAGCGCCACAACCCCAAAGTCGGTCACGACTAGACCTAATGGTCAGGGGTCCCTTTACCCTTTACCTAATCTGAAGAAAAGTGCACTCAGTGCCCTGGGCTGCTTTGCAACAGCAGGGTAAGCTCAACTCCACCACAAAATTGTACAAAAGTTATGGGAAAGAGGCAAAAAAGGAGAGGAAGTGGTAAATTGGTATACTTTTATAGACAGCTTGCAGCACCCTGTGCAGCTAACACTGATAACAGCGCTTTGCTTTATTTTATTCGTCTAGTGATGAAGTCGTCTCCTCTCATACATAATTCAGTCGTGGTTCCACTTTTGTAGTGGATGAGTGACTTCTTAATGGCATTACAGATTTTGTTCTCTACTGTTGGACTTTTGTGCAGCATTTTATACACACAAACACATACATTTCACCCAACTTTTTTTTGGTCTTTTTTTTTAAAGCTTCTGTAAAACCGCCAAAAGAAAGTTGTTATTGGGAGGTATATAGATGACAGCAGGTAAATAAGCAAATAATCTCCCGGTAGTATGGCAAACATCGCCTTCGTATGCATCGAACCCAGGGATGAAGCTCTGCATTTTCAAATTGCGCCGCAACGTGTGTCCATGTGTGTGTGTCCATGCAGGGGTGGCGACTTGGGCCCCAGATTATGTATGCCCAATGGCACCCGTGACGTAATGTGACGTCAGCATGTCACGTTACATTGGCACGCTGCAGCGGCGCTTCCAAGGCCTCATGGGGCCTCGGAGGTCATATCCGATGCCTTGAGAGACATCTGATGTGAAGTCACCTCAGAGGCCTGGCAGGGCCTTGGATGTCACTTCCAAGGCCTTGTGGGGTGTCGAATGCTTTGCAAGGCCTTGGACATTGCCTTGGAGGTCACATCAGGCTTCTGACATGACTTCTGGTAGAAACCAGGAGCCCCGCATTATGGGTGCCGAGAACCCACAAAAAAATGTGAGTACTCAGGCCCCCAAGAGTTGTTGCCAGTGTGTCAATGTGTACAAGAGAGAGAGTGCAAGGTAGGCAGAACTAGCATATACGTCACAGGAAAGTGCCTTAGAGAACTGCTACAAGCACAGTTCTGTCCCCAGTGATAAATTATAATTGAACTGCTGTGCCAGCAATGCCAACAGTTTCTGCCTCTGCTCCCCACCTTCCAGCTTTTCCTGATATTTTGGTAAAACCGCTCCTTGGGTTGTTGCCTTTTTAATATCAAGAAGTATCTTAGTTGATTAAGGAACAAATCTAATACTGTGTGGCTTTTTACCATGTATCTTTACTGTGCTATATGAGGCATTCATCCATATTCCCACCGCCACCGCATATGTATTGAACCTGTGGATTCCATCAAATGCACATGCAGAGATCTTTTTAAATATGTGTGTGTGTGTGTGTGTGTGTGTGTGTGTGTGTGTGTAAGTGAAAGAAATAATATGCTTGGAAGTTGGGGTATTAAATAAAACGAGACAAATAAATCAAGCTATTGCTGTGCTGTTAGCAGTTTTTATTTTTCCATAGGTTTGCCTTCAGGTGAACTCATTGAAAGAATTTCTAAACATATATAAAAATCCAAGGTGTTATTGCAGTGAATGGGGGTAAATTCTGGTTTCCTTAGTTTGTGAGAGGCAGCTGACAAGGCTGTCACTCCTTTATTGTTCTCTTGATTGAGTCCCTGTCAAGTGGGGAGCATTCAGCTCTGCAGATGTTGCTGAATTCAAACTCGCCATTGCCACCAGCAAACACAGCCAATGTCACTGTCTGGGTTACAGGAAGTCAGAGTCCTGGCTTGGTACATCGGGACCAGGGTAGAGGTCGGGAAGCAGGAATCAGCAGTCCAGGGGTCAGGAAGCCAAGAGTCCATGAATCAGGAAACCAGGAGTCAGGAAGCCAAGAGTCTGAGGGTCAGGAAACCAAGAGTCAGGAAACCAAGGGTCCAAGAGTCAGGATATCAGGAGTCAAGAAGCCGAAGCACAGCTAGGTGGGTAGCGTGTTGCTGTGGCAAAGAGCCAGAGGGAAATTCTGGTCTTATATACCCCTCCCGGCCCTTGCCACCAGGTACTACGAGTCTTCTGTCAAGCCTCCCCTGTGTGGCAGTGCCTTGCCCTTCCAGGCCAAACTCAGGAAGGCCCCAGTCCTGCGAGGCCCTACCAGTCACAGGGCCTGGCTCCTGCATGCGCTCCTGAAAGCCAATCAGCAGGGATAGTTGAGGTTTAGAAACATCTGGAGGGGCCAAAGGTTCCCAACAACTGCTGTTAAGGAATGAGCTGCTATTTACAGTTGTGAAAGTCACACAAGAAGAATTCAACATTAATTTATATGCCAGTCATGTAGCTTTGCACACATTCGATCCTGACAATCCACTTGCAAAACTGTTGGTGGTAATTGAAGATTCCAACAGAATCTTGAAGATAAATTTCATGTTGGGCAAGTCCCGAAATCAGAATGTTTTGGATGGCTGCAGTTAATGAAATAGAAATGATCGCTGCATATGTTTTGCTGAACTTTTCACTTATTTTATTTGGTTTTGTAATATAGGTTTTAGCTTTATCAGAAGACAGAGAATTGATCATTCATTTACAGGCAAAGCAACTCATTCACAGACAGACCCTGCCAGCCTTTCTAGGATTATTTGGCATCCAGTAATGTGTGTGTGTGTGGGGGGGACGGACGGCCCACTCTCATCCTTCTAGAAAGCACCATCATTTAGTTTTCGCTATGGGAACTTGGTCCACACTTTAAGGTGCTAGCAATGGGAGTTTGCTGATCAGCTAAGGCCATTATCTTGCAATGAGATTAGCCTGACTATGCAAGTTTCCGCTTGAAGATTCTAACCTTGCAGATACTGAATCATAGGCCTGGAAGGGACCCACTGATATCACCCAGTCCAAACCTATGACACATCGTTGTCCTCAACCACAAAGTAGAATCAAACCATCAGCCCAGGCTGGGGAGTCCATTGCATCATCTCCTGAAGAGAGCATCAACTGCATGAGAGCACTTTGAGGAATCCCCTCCTCCATCTTCCCACAGCTTCAAAACATATTCCAGCAGTCAAAGGCTTAACTGCTCCTCCTCCTGTCTCAATGATTATTCTACCAGCTCCTCTCCTAAACACAAATATAGGGTAGGTTGGTGGGTTTGTAGAAGGTCCATGCACACAGCTGTGATACTTCAGCCCAGTTTCAATGTTGAGGACTCATAAATGTGAAGGATGTGAGGGGTCTATTCAGGTGTTCTGACTTCCAGCCAAGCTCACCCAGACCCCCGTCAAGAAGAGCAGGGAGTCTTCCACAGTGGAGGCCTCAGCTGCCCTAGGGAAGAAAGGCTACCAGCCTCAGTTCTCCTACTGCATACCCTCCAACATTTCTCCGATGAAAATAAGGATGTCCTGTTGAGGTGGTAGTTGAGGTCCACCAGCCCAAAGTAGGGCCTGTTTGAGTGGTTGGGTAGAGGGATACCAAATAAGGACGTCAAAAAATGCTGGGGTGATCAGTTCTAGTGCTTTATTAAAGAAAGGTGCAGACTAAGAACATTGTGCAGAGCTGTGGGACGGACACTGCAACAGTGACAGGTCTTCATGACTTGTCCATGCCCAAACAAACTTTCATATATTCATATACCTGAAGGAGCATCTCCACCCCCATCGTTCAGACCGGACACTGAGGTCCACCTCCCAGGGCCTTCTGGCGGTTCCCTCACCGTGAGAAGTGAGGTTACAGGGAACCAGACAGAGGGCCTTCTCAGTAGTGGCGCCCGCCCTGTGGAACACCCTCCCATCAGATGTCAAGGGAATAAACAACTATCCAACTTTTAGAAGACACCTGAAGGCAGTCTTGTTTAGGGAAGTTTTCCATGTTTGATGTTTTACCGTGTTTTTTCTGCTGGGAGCCACCGAGAATGGCTGGGGAAACCCAGCCAGATGGGTGGGGTAACAACAACATCATCATCAACAACAACAACAACAACAATTTATACACAAAGCGGCATAAGCCAATTTGACAGGGTTTCCCCATTGCTTCACTTGACCAAATGAGGACATAGGTGGCAAACACAGTGGTACCTCGGGTTACATATGCTTCAGGTTACATACGCTTCAGGTTACAGACTCTGCTAACCCAGAAATAGTACCTCAGGTTAAGAACTTTGCTTCAGGATGAGAACAGAAATCGCGTGACCGCGGCGCGGCAGCAGCAGGAGGCCCTATTAACTAAAGTGGTGCTTCAGGTTAAGAACAGTTTCAGGTTAAGAACGGACCTCCGGAATGAATTAAGTACTTAACCTGAGGTACCACTGTACCCAGATCTTGCAGATGGTTCCCTTTCTTTCCCTTTCCCAAGCCCCCAGATAACGATAGCCTCAAAGCAAGCCAATTAGCCCGTATCATAGCAAGTGAACATCAACATA